AAATTAGCTGGATGTGGTCAGGTGTGCCTATAATCCCAGGTACTTGGGAGGGTAAGGCAGGAGAACCACTCGAACCTGGGAGACGGAGGTTGCAGTGAGCTGAGATCGCGCCACTGCACTCCAGCCTGGGTGACAGAGCGAGACTCCATCTCAAAAAAAAAAAAAAAAAAGCTTTCTGTTTTTTCAGATTATATAAATAAGGCATGCTCATTGTGAGGTAATAACATGTGAAAATGTAAAGATCACCTGAAATCCCACCATACTGTGACAACCACTGGTGGCTTTGTCATGTATCAACTTGGCTAGACTGAACTACATTTCCCAGAACTCTCTTCCCAATGTCTCAGGTTAAGATGAGCCACAAATTCCTGTGCCAGATCTGCAGAGCCCAAATGCAGCAGCAGCCCTTGAGTAGCTGACACACCTTGCTGGTGTGAACCCCATCTGTGCCTGGGCCTGCAACCGCTCCACCTTCCCCTGGATCTTCCTTTAGCTCCTCTGAGAGGGGCCTCAGTTTCAGCAGGATGCCTACACCATCAAGGTCAAAAGCAACAAGAACGGGCAGATTTTAGCGTCCTCATGGGCTCCAGCCCATGCCTGTGGGTTACAGCTTATTCTCCCCAACTACATCTTTTCTGACTACTCGCCCTATGGGCTTTAAGCTCCAACATCGGACAGGGAGAGAACAGCCTTACAGAGACTACTTCACTACTTCCTCTTTGTATGTTAACCATTGGAAATTAGGAACATTTTAACAAAACTTGTGAACATATTTGCATCTTTGAATAGGAAAAAAAAATGTGTAAGAAGTATCCTATAAATAACATCAGTCCTCAGTTTTAAGGATGTGGAAAATGAAGCTTCCAAGAGAAAAAAATCTGTTAGTTTTGAACCTGACTTGTCTACTGTTTAAAGATTGCGTCTCAAATTCCACTTAATGTGGGTTTCTTCCCCATAGAATACCAAAAAAAAAAAAAAAAAAAAAAAAAAAAAAAAAAAAAAAAAATCAAAGCTTGGCCTACCTCTCCTAGACCAGGATTTGTTTTTTTTTAGATTGGAGTCTCCCTCTGTGGCACAGGCTGGAGTGCAGTGGCATAATCTCAACTCACTGCAACCTCTGCCTCAGGTTCAAGCAATCCTGGGATTACAGGCACCTACCACCACACCGGGTACTTTTTGTACTTTCAGTATAGATGGAGTTTCACCATGTTGGCCAGGCTGCTCTCAAACTCGTGACCTCAAGTTACCCACCCACCTTGGTCTCCCAAAGTTCTGGCAGTATTTTTTAAGAAGTTTGGGGGTACATTATCTCTTCAACACCATGACATACTCACCACTACTAAATCAATGAAGAAGGCAAATGCTGTTAAAAAGGTCCTTGGTAGAGAAGATCTAGTGAAGTGATGCCAGAGGAGGGCTCTCCAGCCTGCGTGGAACTGGGTGTCCTAAGGATCTGGATGCAAAATCAGTCCACAAAGACAATTTAAAAATGACTTGGGAACTGTCCATGTGACATCACTTTTAGGAAAAGCAGATTCTGTACTGTACAGATCAAAAGATGACTCTCAAGCTAGAGCACAGAGTGTGGGCAGGGGCCAGATGGAAAAAAGGCAAAATGTGAAACACCAGGCTGTAATGCGTGTCTTACTGTACTTGAGTTTCCAAGTGAAATTGGAGGTAATTTAGTTCTATAATAACAGGACTGTGCATTGGCATATCTGTAACTGCTAATTATATAATTTGAAACATTAACAACAATGTTGAAAATCATTCTTGTAAAACACTTCTAAGGTTGCATAATAAAGTTCCTAGTTCTTTGATTTCTGAAGCCACTGACAGGCGTATTGAGGACAGACGATCCTAAGCAGAGCGGCAGATGCTATTCTGTGCTCTAGGCACTGGCTCAGCACTGGGGCGAGGATGAAGCTGGTTAAGATGCAGACCCCATTCTTGCTTAACAGGGGATTCAGATTTAGATAAGGAATTTAATAAGGTTAAGGAGTAGGCCTGGGAGAGGAAAGGTCACCTAAAGGAGACAGCATGTGAGTGGAGCCTTGAGGTACTGGATAGGTGGTCATGGTGGGAAATAATAAAAATTATACTCTTAAAAATCCTCAGAACCTGAATTATGATACTGAAAGCTTTCTCTCAGATACCAAAATCCTCAAAGTCAGCTTTTAAATGACAGCTCAGTGTTCACTTAAAGCTTCAATATAATTGAGCAGTGAAATACAGCTTTGCTGTAGCTTCTAGAAGCACTCAGATTCTATCAGGATAGAAACATGGCAACAAAATAGAGAAGTTACTGATAAACTCATTTTTCCTTGTGCAGTTTTTTTTCACTCCTAAGCTGAACCTGATGACTTCTAAGTGGGGAAAAAAAAAGGTAGTTGCACGTTTTATGAATGTTTTCACTTTAACCAGTCTTTACTTGCTTGGGGAGTTTGGAGTAGAAGAGGCCGTGACTACTTGGTTCCAACACCTCCTTTGCAGCAGGGCTTACCCAGCTGTGGGACTCTGTACAGGACACTCTTAGAGCTCAGAGCCTCATCTGTGAAATAGATACCAACATCAACAGGATAAAATTACTGTGAAAATTACCTATAAATAAGAACAACTTAAAGATGTCTTGCTGCAGGTTGACTACTTCTAGCCTTGCCATGAGTATTTTTAGGTCTAAGAAGGAAGTCTTTTGGCTAAAGAACAATGGAGTGACCTTTGATGAGATTATTAGGCTCCCTAAAAATGAAAGGCATTATATAATTTAAAACTAGCACCAACTAGAGATTTTAATCTCAAAGGTGTAAATAACCATAGTCTAATTTTAGACTATGGTTAAAACAGAAAAAAAAAGTCAACACTAAGATTCAAGTTTCATCCTGAGTGACTAGACAGGTCAGAGGTCCCTAACTCTGTGATCTGACAAGGAGGTTATCTATGCTTCAGTTTCCTACTCTGTGAGCCAGATTTATGTCTGTATGTTTGTTTGTTTGTTTTGGAGATGGAGCCTCCCTCTGTCACCCAGGCTGGAGTACAGTGGCAGGATCTCAGCTCACCGCAACCTCCGTGTGAGGCAGATTTACGATGATACTTTACCACTTTGGAGGTTATTGAAAATAATATAATATTTGTGGATTATCTCCTGAATTTATAGGTTGAAAATGGAAAAGTATTAGCATATTCTCATAATTAGGATTCCATAAGGCTTACATTTCAGATATAGGAGGGGTGATCCTAAGTGGCCACACTGAAACCAGTAAAATTAATGTATACCAACCTCAGGGAAATGCTCCACTTCCTCTAAACTGCTTATGAATGCTATTAAGATATTAAAACTACTGAAGTTTCACTCATTAAACCAATCCTGAAATCTACCTTAGGGTGACATTTTTCCTAGGGAAGAGACTGCTACCCGTTGGCACAAATACCAGTGTTCTCACAGGCACACAGCTAGATTCCATCTCCCAGCCTCCCTTGCAGATGTGGTCATGTAACTGAATGGAATTGTGAGTGGAAATGATAGTGTGCTACTTTCACACCACACTTTTAAAAGAAGGAGGCATGTTTCCTTCTTACTCTCTTCTACAGGGGCTTAGCTATATGGTCATGCTCTGCTTGACCACAGGGATACAGTCTGAGAAATGCATTGTTAGGCTATTTTGTCATTATGTGAACACTGTACAGTGCATGTATACACACCTACATGGTACACCCTGCTCCACACCTAGGCTATACGGTATAGCCTGTTGTTCCTAGGCTACAAATCTGTACACCATGGTACTATACTGAATACTGTAGGCAACTGGAACATAATGCTAAGTATTTGTGTAATTCAACACATCTGAACACAAAGGTACAGTAAAAATATGGTATTATAATCTTATGGTGCTTAAACTTCATTATCTGGCACATGGCTATAAATAACCACAAGGCCCTAGGACAGCCCTTGTCAAATAGGGTTCCAAGTGAGATAATAAAGCTCCACTGCCCTAAGGCCTCCTCCACTGTATGTACTGAATGTGAAAACAGTCACCCAAACCATTTTCCTTTAGGCTTATTCCTTTAGTGAACTCAGGAAGAAAAATTTGTCCTACAGGATGACAGAGCTACACGATTAAAGGAACCTGGGTCCTTGCATAACTATGGGGAAATCCTTACATAATAAATGAAAAATGTATCATTATGGTTTTGAGGTCTATTTGTTACAGCAGCTAATATTACTCCAACAAAGGGATCACTCTAAATTGACTCTTCTTTAATGTAAATTTGTTCTTTGTAGCCACCTTTCAGTGATTAAAAAGAAGCACACAAATCAAAATATCCACTTATTTTTTTTTTACGATGGAGTTTCGCTCTTGTTGCCCAGGCTGGAGTATAGTGGTATGATGTTGGCTCACTGCAATCTCCGCCTCCTGAGTTCAAGCAATTCTCCTGGCTCAGCCTCCTGAGTAGCTGGGATTACAGGTGTCTGCCACCATGCCGGGCTAATTTTTTGTATTTTTAGTTAAATGGGGTTTCACCATGTTGTCCAGACAGGTCTCAAACTCCTTACATCAGGTGATCCACCCGCCTTGGCCTCCCAAGTGCTGGGATTACAGGTGTGAGCCACCGCACCTGGCCCAAATATCCACTTTTTTTTTTTTGAGACAGAGTCTCACTCTGTCGCCCAGCCTGGAATGCAATGGTACGATCTCAGCTCATTGCAACCTCCACCTCCTGGGTTCAAGTGATTCTCCTGGCTCAGCCTCCTAAGTAGTTAAGACTACAGGTGCATGCCACCACGCCCAGCTAATTTTTTGCATTTTTAGTAGAAATGGGGTTGCACCATGTTATACTGGATGGTCTTAATCTCCTGACTTCGTGATCTGTCCCCCTCAGCCTCCCAGAGTGCTGGGATTACAGAGGGGAGCCACTGCACCCGGCTGACATTTGTTTTCCTCTACAAAATACAAATGGGCAATTCTGATTTGATGGTGATTTTATAATCAATCAACACAAAGTTTAACATCTTTACATTTAATGAAGAAGTAGATAATTTGAAAAATACAAATTACAATTTCAAGAAAAAAAGATGTATTAATATGCCATAAATAAGCAAAAATTGGACTTTGAAGCCCTAATACTTCAAAAGCATTCATCCTATTCCATACAAACCTAGTATCATTCAGGAACAGTACTACTGATTTAAAAATAGCAAGCGAATATATCTTCAAATGTAGTTCTTTGTCTTTAACTTGCACAACTCACCAAGGTTATTTTCATACTGAGCACCCTGGGTTCACAAGGGTGTGACCCAAAGTAAACCAGCATAGATTTTTAACAGAAAAACTTTTCCAGGAACTTCATGACCTGTATTTTCCTCTCCTATGAAGAAGCTGTCCCACCTCGCATGATTCTGAACAGTGTGTTGATGTTATTGCTTCGAATTGCATCCCGACAAGCAGTGATCACCTGGTTCTTTGGTTTTCCAACTGCATGAGAAGAAACATCAGAAAGTGAGAGATTATTAGACATGAAATTATAAAATTAGAGGCCAGTTTTAAAACAACATCAAACCAGGAGAGAAGAGAGTTATATGTGAAATATAACGAATTTATCTTACCACTCCCTAAAAAGGATAACTTGGTGAAGGAATTTATTTAAAAAACTGACTTAGAGACCAACTCAAACCTAGACACCAAACGTCAGTTTTACAGAAAAGGATCAAAGCTCATATTCACCTGGCAAAGATTATTTCTAAAGAGGTCAAAGCATTGACCTAAAACAGCAGGATTCAAGTATAAATCTCTGGCTATATTTCTGCATCCTTGGGTTTATCCTATTGTTCTTTTTCTAAATTTTTAAGTTAGACACTTAGCATTAATTCTCTTTTTTGCTAATTTGGCCTTGATGGTTATATATATAAAACCACAAATATGTACTACATATACCTATATAGTATAGATACCTACTAGATATGCCCCAAAGGAAACATATAAACATAAATATATATTTATATATAATTGCAAACTTCTTAGACGAACATATATTTATGTTTATATATTTCCTTTGGGGTATATATAGTAGGTTTTTCTTTAGAGGATGCAGGAAGATGTAGGAAAAGGAGCTGCAGGTTTTCTTTTCCTTTGAAGTCTACAGACTAAAGCCAAACACCAGGCTGACTGAAACACAGTGTCTGGTGCCAGCTCTGGAGTGTGAAAGGCATGCTACTTTCAGCCCCAGTATGAATTATTGAATGCTACCACCATCTTCAATGAGTTCCACCAAAAACATTAAACATAGAAGTGCAGTGTTATGAAAAGAGACTTACCCCGCAGACGACCTGCTCTTTGAATTGCTTGATTTACTGCTTTGAGGTTTCCCAACAGTTCTGTGTGATTGTTACAGCGAATTTTATAACCATTTAGCAAGTCTCTATTAAGGTCATAGAGTTCCATATAACGACTCTTCATTGTTTTCCTGTGCAAATCAGTAGAAATTCGACATCATTTCATCTTGATGTGGCAAGCTTAAGAAAAACTTGCAAACTTCTTAGA